GGTAAGAAACGAAACCGAGCGCGGGGCAGGGCCCGAGGGCGGGCCGCGGCGGGGGTGGAACGGGTAAACACGGTATATCCCCTCGGAATGCCCTGAGACAGGAGAAGGGGCAGATTACTGTCGTCTTAGAAATGTTTGGGGTTTAAACTTGTCAAGTATTGATGTCTTCTGAAGTCATTTTCCCAACCATTACTCAAGTTTCTAACTTAACCAGATAGAAAACGAAGTATTCAAACAGAACGGAATCACAGAATTTTAGGGGTTGGAAAGGACCTCTGGAAATCATCTAGTCCACCCCACCACTCCCCCCCACCCCCCAGCGCAGTGTCACCCAGGGCGGGATGGACAGGGATGCGTCCCCGCGGGTTTGGAGTATGTCCAGAGGAGGTGGTGGTGAAGGAAGACTTGATTTTCAGTGAGGTGGATGCGAAGTACATGACGGCAAGTTTTTCTTTAGCAGCTCTGCGGCTCGGGAGCGGAGATATGAAAATAGAATCGATAAGCACATATTGTTGTGGGGGTTGTTTCTCTTTTGATGACAGTTCTCTTTCTTTAGAAGCTCCAGTGTTGGCAATGTATTTACTGATAATGATGTAATCTCACAAGTTCCATCGTGAATACAAGCAAGTAAAGAAAATAACTTTTTTTTTTCGTCAAAGAGACATTAGAATCCAAACAGTTCCTTTCAACATCAGCCCAGCTTGTTTGCAAGCAGTGAACATGGGCACTGCTGTTGGACTGTGTTGCTTTGCCCAGCTGTTGGCTGCGGGGGATCTGGCGTGGCAGAAGACTGCACAGCTCTAGTGGTTTTGCTTTGTGACGAGGAAGGCACGAAGCAATAGGTTATAATGTTGATTTTTGGTGTTTTGGAGGCTGATTTCTTCTGTGCAAGGGGGGAATGAGACATCCATCTAGAAATGATGCTGCCTGTTTGAGACAGGGATACGGGCTAAGCTCCAAGTGCCACAGTTCCTTTGGCACCTTTTGTGTTTGTGAGCCTTGCATCGTCCTCAGGAAAGGAAAATGAGTGTCTTAGAAATGAGACGAGTTGGGGGATTTTGGCTGCAGTGTAATATGGTTACTGCTGTCATTCCCCGAACAGATGTGGCGTAACAGGATCTGTTATTTATTTTTTCCAAGCAAAGCACTGTTTGACCTCTTTTAGCCAAGATATTTTCAGGAAGAAACGTTTATCTTCTCAGATTAGTTTATTAACTCGAACCTGTTGATAACTTGTCTGTGCTGCAAAATTTGGCATTCGCATAAGGAAATCAATCCACCTTGATTTTATCTTAATGCAGTTTGAAAACTGTAACCTTTGTGTGCTATATACAATAATATCCCAACTATAAAGGAACACGGAGGCCTAGTTGGGCTTGTCTTTCTCGTTAGTTACTCAGTTCTCTAAACCATGAATTCATAGAAAGCTCTCTTGGGATTCTTTTGTTATGAAAAACTGCTTGAAATTGTTGTCAGTGTATTTTCTGAAAAGTAACCTCTGTGACTTTTCTCGTAGCACAAAGGATATTCCTGTTGCTAATTTCATCATGCATGAAAT